CCCCATGGCAGGTCCCCATCCCCTGGCCTGGGGATCCGTGCGGCAGCTCTGACCCAGGGGTTCCCCTGGGCTGCCGGCGGCGGCTCAGACTCCCTCTCCCTTCAAGCGCAGTGGCTGCTGTTAAAAAAAAAATAAATAAATTGGGGGAGCTGCTTTTTGGCACCCCCAAATCTTGGCGCCCTAAGCAACCGCCTAGTTGGCCTAAATGGTAGCACCGGCCCTGATTAAACCTTACATTTCCTCTTAATAAGGAATGTGTGTCATTTCAAATATAGTCGCAGACCCAGTTTCTTGGCCAGTGATTCATTGTCAAGACCAAAAGGGAACAGGGAGGGGGAAAGCTATGAAAATGGAAGCTTTGCCTTACCTTTTCCAATGTACTGAAGGAGGGCCAGGACTGAAATCCATACTCCGAGGCAAACCGAGTTTTAGGATACACTGTCCAGTTCCAGCAGTCACTGAGATAGTCATAAAAGTGAGTGTCACCATAATGGGTGTCATAAGGATTTTGGGAGAGCCAGCTTTCTTTAACAGACTCCTTGCCATTTGTGGGACTGGATGTAATATAAGGACGACTCTTATCCTCCTGGGTAAACAAAACAAAACACACCACAATAAAGTGATTGGTACTAACATTTCAATATCCAGACCTTACTTTGGGAAGTGAAACTAAAATGCCTTTGCCAAATTGCTGAGTCACTGCCTAGGAAATATTTTGCTTTTGTGCCCTGACATTCATCTCCTCCCTCACGTTTAATCGTTTTTAATTCCTGGAATCAGAGGCCTAACAGGATGTACTACTGCTTTCTATTTCTATAATTCCTCCTCCCCTTCATGGCCACGTAAGCGCTACACGAATCAGGCCCTCAGATACCACAGGTACCAGCCAGATGCTCCCACTGAAGAAGTGGGCAGGGAGAAAACTATGCCAGGGCTCCACTGCCCCCTCGTACTGAAATCAGCAAAACTGGCTGGACACATTTATGAGGGAGGAATATACTGCACCCCGTTCAAGTGGTGTCACAAATTACCTCCTCTCCTCATAGTGCAATAGGGATACCACTAGAGGAACTGTTTTCTTTTGAGGCACAATGCCTCCCAGTTGTCCCCCTGGGGCACTGAGACTATGCACTGCCCCTTACTGTGAGCAGTGTGAAAAACTGCACAATCTGGCCCTTAATTCATAACTAGTACTTTATTAAGCCCAGGACAGAAAGTGGAGACTTTCCTCAGCGTACTCAACTCTAGGTGTGAATTAATAAGTTACAAAGCAGGAGCAATCCACCTACTTCTTGCCTATGGAAGCTTGTTAGTCTCATCTGCTAGTACAATGTAGGCTTCATTCTGAGTGGAGAGGAATTTGAAACTAAAGTGCAGTTTTGAAAATCTTGGGGAAAGGGATTCTCTTGCCTCAGATCAAGGGATTTGTTATCTTTAAATGCTTCTACATTATTAGTAACAGCTATTTAAAGCACTTCTAGTGGAAAATAAACAAAATCATCATTAACATTTGTGTGGTGAGACAGTTCCTTTAAGTAAAATGATTAGCATTGCCACTGCAAAAAAAATGCTGCACAAGTAAGATTCCCCCCCCCCCCCCTTCGTTACAGACAACCAACAAGCTTTAGTCTTAATACATTCAAGATATGCTGTCACTACAGTTTGTTTGTGGCACCGTGCTTTGGTTTTGTTTGGCCTGACTGTGCATTTTAGGCCAGATACAACTTTATGAAGGGCAAGGTTTAGAGTTGTTTTCAAATTACATATATTTAACCACTACTGCACACTACATCTTATCCATGCCAAATACTGAAGGATTTCTTTGCAATTAGAAAACATTTAGGGACAAATTTTCAGTAAGGGAAACCCCTGGTTCTACATTCACAGTTACCATTATTAGCTCCAATACAGCAAAGCAGTTAGCCATAGGCTTCAGTTTAAATACAAGTACAGTAATTCTATTCACTGTTTTTAACTATGTGAACAGTTAATCACTAGAACTGCTTATCTAAGGATATGCTACATTCTCCATTACTGAAGCCTTGTTATGAAGGCTGGATGTTTTTCCAAGTGATAGATTCTAGCTTAGTCAGATGTAATGGGCTTGATGGAGAAGTTGCTTGGTGAAATTCTATGGCTTGTGTTATGCAGGAGTTCACACAGAAGGTCGTAATGGTTTCTTCTGGCCTTAAAAATCTATCTAATCTATCTATCTATCTATATGCTTAAAGTGAAGCAGATGCTTCAGTGCTTTACTGGATTGGAGACACTGTGTATTCAAATCAGGTGACATAAAATGCCTACCAGAAGCATTTCACTAAGCCACCTGCATGCACAGTAACCCAATTTGTGTACATGATCATAGAAATGATAGAAACCTAGAAAAAAACGGTTACCTCCCTTCTCGTAACTGTTGTTCTTCGAGATGTGTTGTTCCTGTCCATTCCAACCAGGTGTGGGCACTGGAAGTTTTTTCCCATAGCAGCATCTGTTGTGTCAGCCTGGGTGCCCCCTGGAGTCACGCCTTCCTGGCACTCAATATAGAGCCCTGCCAACCCGCCACCCCCTCAGTTCCTTCTTGCCGGCTACTCCGACAGAGGGGTAGGAGGGTGGGTATTGGAATGGACATGAACACCACATTTTGAGAACAACAGTTACGAGAAGGTAAGGAACTATTTTTTCTTCTTCGAGTGCTTGTTCACGTCAATTCCAACCAGGTGACTCTCAAGCCTAAATTCTGGAGGCGGGATGGGAACTGTCCACTGACTGGAGCACAGCTCTACGGAAGGCCGCATCATCTCTGGCCTGCTGGGTAATCGCATAATGTGCAGTGAAAGTGTGTATGGAGGACCGCGCCACTGCTCTGCATATTTCCTGAGTGGGAAACTGTGCCAGGAATGCAGCTGAAGAAGCCTGCGCCCTGGTGGAGTGCGCTGTGAATGGAGGGGCAGGTACCCCTGCCAGGTTGTAGCACTCACGGATGCAGGATGTGATCCACGGCGAAAGGAGACTAGAAGTCCTTTCATCCTGTCTGCCATGGCCACAAACAGTTGAATGGACTTTCAGACAGTTTCATTCTCTCGATGTAGAAGTTAGCACTCTGCGGACATCTGATGAGTGAAGCCTCTGCTCCCTACTGCTTGAGTGCGGCTCAGGATAGCCCACTGGGAGGAAGATGTCCTGGTTCATGTGAAATTGGGAGACAACCTTCGGGAGGAAAGCTGGATGTGGCCTGAGCTGAACCTTGTCCTTATAAAACACAGTGTAAGGAGGCTCCGATGTTAGGGCCTTGAGCTCAGACACCTCCTGGCTGATGTTATTGCTACCAGAAACACCACCTTGTATGGGCAGGGAGCATATCGCCAGTGATTCAAAGGGCAGCCCCGTCAGTCTGGAAAGGACCAGATTGAAGTCCCAAGCCAGGACAGCCTGTCGGACTTGCGGGTATAGCCTGTTGAGACCTTTGAGGAAATGGCTGACCATAGGGTTGGCAAAGACTGACCAGCTCTCAGCACCTTGATGGAAGGCCGATATAGCGGCCAAGTAAACCATTATTGACGACATGGACAGCCCCTGCTGCTTGAGGTGGAGAAGGTAGTCCAATATAAGCAGTAAAGAGGGGAGCATGGGTGATGAACCATGTTGTGCTGACCAGATTGAGAATCTCTTCCACTTGGCAAGGTACGTAGCCCTGGTGGAGGGCTTTCTACTGGCAAGGAGGACTTGTCTGACTAGGTTCGAACAGGAGAGCTCCATCGGGTTCAGCCATGGAGCTTCCATGCCATGAGGTGTAGCGACTCGAGGGTCAGATGCTGGAGACAACCGTGATCCTGGATCAATAAGTCCGGGAAGAGCGGCAAGGTGACTGGGGCTTCCACAGACATTTCCAGAAGCGATGTGTACCAGTGCTGGCGAGGCTAAGCTGGAGCTATCAATATCACTGAAGCTTGTTCCCTCCGTGAATGAGCGGAATGGGTGGAAACATGTAAAGGACATGGTCTCCCCATGGGAGCAGGAATGCATCCGCGATGGAGCCCGGCAGGGCCGGCCTTAGCAAGAGCGGGGCCCGATTCCTGGGGGCGGGGCTTGCCGCTGGCAAGCCCCGCCCCCAGGAATCGGGCCCTGCTTGGGCTGGGGTCGCGGGGTTTGGGTCCGGGCCGGAGCCGCTGGGCCCCCCCCGCAGCTTACCTGTTGCTGCTGCCGCCTGCCCCTGCTTCTTTTCAGACTTCCCGCGAACATCTGATTCGTGGGAAGCAGGGGAGGGGGAAGTGAGCTGGGGGCGGAGTGGACAGCTGCGGGGCCCTCTTAGGCGCGGGGCCCAATTCAGCCGAATCGGCTGAATCGGCCTAAAACCGGCCCTGGAGCCCGGGCTGTGATTCAGGAAGGAGCAAAACTGCTGACACTTCCTGTTGTGTCATGTGGCGAACAGGTCTATGCTATTCTTGAGTCCATTTTACAATTTAGATTAACATTGACAGTAATTGTAAAACATAGATGTGTTAATATATTAGCAATGTAGTCAATACAAACTTGTTAGATTTAAGCTTTAAGGCAGAAATTTGTCGAGTATAACATCAGCCATTTTGGTTTATCAGTAGCTTGACGCTTATTGAGCAGTTTCTCTCAAAGCTTCCCCTTTTACCTATTTCCCCCCTTAGGGTTTTCCTGTACCCTTAAATTTCCAGGACTAGAATGGCCAGACAAGCTCCTTAAAGTCAGTAGCATGCATAGGGTTACCATATTTTGTGCCTCCAAATGGAGGACACTCCACAGCCCACGGCCCCGCCCCCGGCCCCGCCCCACCA